GCGTATAACAATGATAGATTATAATAATGAATATTGAAAATATTTGCTGTTGTTGATTGATAGAATGATATTTCTAACATTGAATATTATTTTGTGCGTTATCAGCAGCGTTATTCATTGCTTTTTTGGAAAGATTCTTATGACAAAATTGAACGCCGTTACGAATCATTTTCATCCCATTTTGTTTATATCATGCAGTCGTTCTTATCAGTTTTACGACAGATTTCTTTTGTAAAAATGCTTTCTCAAATGTTTTTTCTACAATTCATCGCAATTTTTCTGGTCGCATAATCCATAAAACTGAACATTCTTGGGATATGATTTGTCCTTAGTGAACTGACGCTGAACAACATAAACTATTTTTATTAGTGATAACGTGGAATTAGTGATTAGTGATTAGTGATCAGTGAACTTTTATTTCATTCCATGGACTCTGCAAAAAAACTTTAATCATTTGATCAAATGATTTGTTTTTCACTAATTCCTTTTTCTGGAGGAATGATTCATTGCCGTATGAGGCGGTATTTAAGGAGGTAGATGTGACGCAATGGTCACATTGAGTGAACGGTCGCAATGCGCTTCTTCACGCAGCTCATCGGTGCAATCGCCCTCTGTGTTGGGCTTATTGGTAGGTGTTGTTATCTCGATCTGAGACAACATTATTCCTGGTGATGGCATCCGACCGAAGGTCGCCCGGAAAAATCCGACAATTTTGATCGGAACTAGAACATTCGGATTCCAATCGAACCGTTCCGACAGTCGGTCGATGTTCCGATTGTCAGGGCGATGCAAAGCCAGATCGGTCGGATTGCGACCGACATGAGATTTGCTTGGATGCCATTACCAATCACTCCCTGTTCATGTGGTTTAACTCTTTGGTTATGACCACCTCATCGACGTCTCGCGAGAGAGAGTGGCCCGATATTTTATGACTGCCAGAAAACTTTCAAAAAGCATATTTGCCTTTTTGGGATTGAAGAGAAGAAATATAAGTGAGAACTTTCGACGTGTTATGACTGTCGCTCAGCATCGTCAGCACAACCCTCGAGAAACAGTTCACATTCCCTTAAGCTTTCTCAACGTCATGTAACCAATCAGCTGCAGTCTTGAATGCGATTACGGCACTCACAAATTGATGAAAAATGACCGAAGAAATAAGTTGTCAAACAGCTAAATGTGTGAGCGAGTCAATACAACTGCTTCACATGCTTACGACTATCTGCAGGCTTTACTTCCTCATAAGAACCGTTAGTGGAACATCTTAATCATAGTTACCTTCAGGCGCAACTGGAGAGATAGCTGATATGATAAAATGTCCGATCGATCTTGTGATCGTGATGGACGAATCGAGCAGTATTGGAGATCAAGATTATCAGGTTGGCGTTTAAACGCTTTCAGCCAGTGTTCACATCGAATTCAAGATCAACTGAAGAACGAGAAAGATCAATTACTGATCATGGCTTCGTAATTATTTGATGAATCTTTCAATTGATCAGATTTCTCGTTAGGGGATCAGTCATTATGTCAGTACATGCATGCTTCGATGGAGCAAATTTTATAGGGCAGAACTGTCGTGAATTTTCTAATGCTGAATACCAAAAACAACAAAGTTACTTCATAAATTTCCTGCTGATAATAACCAATTAATTTTATTTGTTCTTGTAAAGAGTTATGAATTCACATTAAAATGAACATGAGCACAGTTTTGGAGTTACCATTGAAGAAAGATTACGCGGTTATAACTTTTATTATTAACAGACCGCATTGGATGCCTTATCTCGCTTCACGCAAAGACTCCACAAGGCGAGTTTTGATATTTTCCTTATTTTTCAACTTCTTGCTTAATCATTCCACACGGAGTTGCCGCTGAATCTTTCGAACATAATTCATTCTGAAAGCATTTCTCATCTCGCTCTCAGAATTCCAATGAAGCAAGCTTATTGACTGAGCACCTCAACACGATGGTGAAATATTGTAATGTTGTGATATTAATGTTTGACTTCAGCAAAGTCGTGTTGGAATGGTGTCATTCAGTGATGAGGGACGTGTCGTATTTGACATGGACAAATATACAACGAACTCAGATGTAGCATCCGCAATTAAAAATTCAAACTATCATAAAGGTCTAACGAACATCGCGGCTGGAATGCATGTCGCTACAACTCAAGTAATCAATTGTTAAATGCAACAATATACATCAAAAATGGAATGATTATAATATGAAAGCAATTCTTAAAATATATTACGCTACATGAATATTGCGAGCATGATGCTGAATATTTACTTATAATATTTGATGCTTATGAGGTTTAAGGTTTTCGCAAACGCAAAAGTCCGTAATCCGGAAGTTCCAAAGGTGATGGTTGTGATAACCGATGGTATGGACATCACTGATGTTGCAGCAGAGCATGCCCGAGCAGATAAGCTTGGCATCAGTGTATTTGTCATTGGAATAGGCCAAGGTTCGCCCTCTGAGTTTTATACACTTTTATACTACCTTTAAAGTAAATGCTGTTTTAATGTATTTACCCAACCGGATTGTAAGCGATGTATCTGTCGATATAATCAGTGATATAATGGTTTAATCATTTGAATTTTTCAGATATTGATCGCGAAGAATTGATGAGAGCTGCTGGTGATGTGACACATCTCTTGACCTTTGACAGCTACGATGCTTTAGCTGACGATATTAATAAACTATGTCCAAATGATGGTGAGTGATTTTATTGCGTAATTCTGAGGGTGTAAATGAAGTACAAATTCCTAAAGTAATACGATTCAATTGCTGGTATCACTTCCATGTACACTCAAGAAACAAAGTGCATGAATGAAAATGTATTCGCCTTACAGAAACGCATGGACCACGAAAATGTGCCTGCGATTATCACCACACGTGGCTTGACCTTGTCTTCATATTTGATTCATCGAAGGCTGTCCAAAGACAGGACTTCAATGCGGTTAGTACATATTCATCGCCCGGTTGGTACACATTTCTTTTCAGTATGCTCATTACGCACGGAAGATGCCATTTTTGAAAACATCTTTCACACTCAATGACAGCTTGGGACATTTCAGCTCCAAAACTTTGCTGCGGGATTCGTTCACAGCATTCCCGTCAGCCAACAAATCGGAAAATTCTCTAGAGTTGGCATCATCAATATGGGTGACGAGGTATTATTGAATCATTACTCAATTATTTGCCTTTGATTCTTGTTTGAAACTCTGTTTATTGAGAAATCATCATTTCCGTGGTAGACTAAGCCTTCCGTCATACGTGAGTAATAACAATAGAATACAAGCATAATATACATGATATACGTGGTACACGTTAACCTTTAGGCAAATGTTGTGGGAACGTTGACATCGTTCAAAACACCTGATGAGGCAGCGAATGCAATGAGAAATATGCCATTCCTTAACAGTAACTCAGCAAATCTTCGCGAGTGAGTTTTTCACATTTCATCTTCACTTTTCACTTTTTATCTTTAATTTTTTCGAAGTAGTTGTAAAAAAATTGTTCCTATAAAGCGCATTTTCGTCTTCAAGATGAAAATTTCACAAAATACCCGCATTGTTAAAGTAACTCCATGCAAGGGAAGTGCATGTGTGAAGGATATCAATGATCTTCCCCGTTTACGCGAAACCGANATGTTGGACAGCAGCCACGATGAACGCAAGAATGTCCAAAACGTTGTCGTGCTCTTCTCAAGCGTTGATCAACCGTGCACTTATCAAGGCCATAAGAAATTGTTCGTTGATATTTTGAATGTTACAAACCATCAAAAATTCTTTGTCGTGTCTTCGCAGTCATACCATTGGGCTACATTCTGAAGTTCAGTTGTATTCTCTCGTCATGAGCGTCGATCACTGATCAATTTTATGTATAGTACGATAATGACTAGTGTATTTGTTCTTTTAGTGCTTACATGGCATCTGCATAGTGCAGTAATTGAATGCAAAAATTGCTTTACAGGAGTGTGAAAATGGATGATTATAATCCTTGCCGCATTGCCTCACATCTAAAAGAAAATAATAATATTATTCTCACGGTTGGTCTCAAATACGATGGTGCAGAAAGATTCCCAGATCTACAGGTTGGAAGTGATTGCTACAAACTGGATTTCGATACGGAGCTTGCGCACAACTTCATCGATGCTATTTGCAGAGGTATCATAAACAATCGATTGGATCGCGTTATTGTTTGATAGATCAGTAGTGAAATAAATTGCTTTGTACATGCAAACAGCCATAATCAACCGACTGCAGACGTGATATGCATGAACCTTGAAAATTACTAACTGGCACTGAAAGTCATTTAGTTTCATCTAGTTCCATTGCTGGTTGACGTTCAATTTTACAGCTAACTGCTACTGTCTTCCTCCCTACGTGCAGTTCACGGAAAAGTGCACCGAATATGGTGAATGCGTTTATGTGCAAGGTCAAGCACTCGATCACTCCACTGCTCAAGAAACATGCTCGAATTACAACACAACGATGATTGATGTGCTCAGCGCCGGGAAAGATAAATTCATCGCAAGTAATCCTTTGGCATTGAATTCGATTCTACAACTAAATTCTTTGATGAGCATGTTCATTCAGATCCTTCACTTACAGTTAGTTGGACAATGTAATGAGAATTCATCTTTAAATGAATTTGAAAATGAATGATCAAATAAATATGAAATGAAACGATAAAGCAATTGGATAAATTGAAAGCGATCAAATAAATCGGGAATAGTCAACATTTGATTGAAAGTGTTTGTAAATCACAAAAGGGAATTTACAAAAAACATTGATTGTGATTTCAGACATGGAACAAAAGTACGGCTACAATCAGTACTGGTTAGGAGCGTACTATTCCGTCGATCATTTCGAATGGGCAACTGGATTCCAGGTGATTACAATGGATCATTTCTTTTTTTGGGCAGCCGAAAGAAATATTACCATTGAATTTGCGTCGAGAAATGGAACTGAATGTCCGATGAAGTTCAGAAATGACGGTGATTGTAATGAGTTCTATTTCATCAGTCGGTTGATGAAATTTAGCATCATCGTTATTGTTTTCAAAATTCATCACGCTTTCAGACAGCTACTCAGCTGCATACTAGAACGAGTCCAACCGGCGTGTTGACCACACTCGAAATAGACCGTCTTTCGCAGAGGAAAGTCTCACACGTCTCAGACGTGTACAGTAGTCACTGCTCATGGACATGTGAATTGCAATGTGTGACTGAAAAGTTTTTGCGATTGCAGATGGATGCTAATGACTATAAGCATTGGGCACCTAATGAGCCAGACCTTAAGAAAGGTGACTGTGTTTATGAGGACAGCAATGGCTGGCATTCGGATGATTGCAACGACTTCCTGCATACTCATCACTTCCTTTGCCAGAAGAAAGCATGTATGCTTTTGTGCTCATGCAATCTCGTGCAAACTATAATAGCAAGAATGTCATGAAATTGCGAATAAGTCGCAGGAATCTCTTATTGCCTATTATAGCCATTGTGCATCGCTCTCACACTCAACCGAAAAGTTATTACTTCGTTTCGCTGTCCTCTTATCATCTGAAAATGGCAATGGAGTGATAATTTTCACTTAAACTTCACGTTATTTGACTCTTCACTGACTGGTACTTTTTATATCTTGTGAAAATTCTATTTTCAGGCAACACGGAGAACTACTGTGACTTCGACAAACTACATTGAACGATTATCAAGAATGAATGATATGTTCATGCAATTCATTAAGATAAACTCAACAACGGATGCATTCATTTAAGATTAATTTTTAAATTCTCACGAACATTCTGACAGTTATCGAGAATATGGGCGAAATGAGGAACCGAACTGATACTTTAGGGTCGAATGGTGAGAGAATGACTTTTATTAAACTAAATGTGAATGATTCCGTTGCTTTTCATATCCTCCAATTGAATAACTAAACAGCGCCAAGAATTGTATGAAATGCTCAGTCCTTTTCATAACAAATAAACTTTTCATTCTGCATCGTCCATTGTATTTCTGAAGTTCTTCACTATTCAAAGGATTCTGCCCGTCAGCATTTTGTGTGAATTCCGGAAACTTTGAGAGTACTCCTCGAGAATATCTGATCAGGGCTCA